ATCTCTAGCATAACTATGAGCATGCCCAAGAAAGTGGGCTCCTCTGCTGGTTGTGTACAGACACACACACACACACACACACACACACACACACAGGCCACACACACAGGGGCGGAAATCACCCAAGCTCCCCATTTTTTTAAAATCATACAGAGGTTAATATGAAAGCCTGGACTAAAAGAACTGAGATAACCTGTACCTCTGGAGCACAGGACCAGGAAGTTGTTCACCGTTTCTTGGGACTGGTCCTGTATCACTCTTCTCGTGATGATGCACAGTGACACTGCCTGGGTGACATGGTGGGGGTGAGGGGAGCACTGGGGAACCATGCACATGCACCGCGATACCCTGACAGAGATGGCTACCAAGGGACTGACGGGAGGGGAGAGATACAGCAGGACAGCTCATCATGCTCCCATGCGTGGCCCATCTTCTAAAGCTTGTCCTGTGTTCATTTCTGGAAATTTCCAGTTAATTTCTGTGGATCACAGTTGACCATTGATGACTAAAGCCTCAGGAAATGAAACTGGATAAGGAGGGAGTCTTTCTAGTCCTCAGAGTGCCCACTGCCCTGACTGGGACTTCCATGTGAGTGAGTGGGGCCGATCAGTCTCTCAGTCTTTCCAGAGTTCCCATTCAAGCTCCAGTAGCTCTATAGAGACCACTGTGCTGAGGCGTTATTGGTCCTCAGAAGGCCTCAGAGCTGGGGTAAACCGACTGACCCAGCCGGCCTGCCTGGTTTCTGACCCTGGGGCCATCAGACTTGTGTGTGTGGCTTTGGGCAAGTTTCCTAACTCCTCTGGGTCTTAATTTCTTATCAGCAAGTAGGATTGGTGGTAAAATAACAGCACAGATAGAGACGAGTTATTTCCCCTTTTACACTTTAAATCCTTAGAAGTTATTGGTGATTATTTTGCCAAGTCATAGGACAGTTCAGGGAAACTAAGAAGATGATTACCCATTCAGTCTATAGGTTTCCTGAACACAAAAGCTTTCCATTGTATTTTCTGTCTGCACCGTCAAATGGAAACCCATATTTATGTGCATAAATAACCTGAACAGCAGGCAGTAAGTATTAGTGTCAGATGAATGGGGCCAAGTCTAAGTGCTGTTGACAGGAGAAAGCAGAAATTCTGAGGGCTGAGACAGGCAAGGGACACTTCTGGCAGGAGGCAGGAACCAAGCCTTGTTTCTTGCAGCTGCTCTCAGTGAGTGCATGGTGTGAATGAGGAGGAGACACGGCAGTGAGTTCAGGGATTGGGATATAGGAGTTTCAGTTTCTTGGGATATAGGATATAGGATATAGGATATAGGATATAGGATATAGGATATAGTTCTGTTATATATATAGTTCTGTTTCTTGTGAGACAGGCTTTTAAAAGAGCTTGAACCATGTCCCATGTTGATTTACCTGGTGTCATATAACATGGTAATGTCATTAGGTTTGGACTAATTTCTTTGGTGAAAGTATTTACTTTTGCTAAGCTTGAAAATATTGAAACATTCCTATAGGCCTCCAAGTTGTCTCAATTTTTAGCATTTTATAACTTTGTTGCAACATGGTATGTAGGATAATGAAGCAGAGGTGAGAAAAAACCAACAGAGAATGGGAGTAATATATTTGTGTTCACATGTATTGGGGATCTAACTCCTCTTGACTCGAGGGACCAAAAATTGAGCACATGATTAATAATCACAGCAATATTATTAGTATGTTTAAAGCTTACAATGAGTAGTCCTGGCATAAATGTCATTCTGCTAGGCCAGTTTTACTATTTCAGTTGTCCAGATGAAGCCAGAGATGCAGGAGATGGATTAGTGTGTTGAAGATGACAGTTATTTAGTAGCAATTATAAGATTTGACTCAGGTTTAGGCTGACTCTGAGAACTGCACTCTTACCACTGCTACCACTGTTTATCCCTTTGCCAATGGATACTTCGCTCGGCCGGGTCCTACACCGAAGCCTGGCAGTGGTGATGTGTGTGTGGCAGGGGTCGGGAGGGGGAGATGGGGAATCACCCAGGCTCATGTTTTTCCTAATTCACACAAAGGTTCGTTTGAAAGCCTGGGCTATGAGGGCAGAGACAGCCTGTACCTCTGTATGTCTCTGGAAAATGGGACCAGATTTTTTTTCAGTTTCTTGGAAATCAGCCTCTAGATTGGAGGCTTCTCAACTTTACAGTCACAGTAGTTTATAAATATGAGTTGAGTGGATGACATTTAAATTAAAATATTAAAGTACTTGTTCCAGTAACTCATTAATGTAGACAATATATAGTTTGCCTGATGTAAAAGCTTAACATTTAAACCACATCAGTTTCGGGAGAGGGGACCAAAAAGATATCTGGAAATCAGATGGATGGAGTTCTCTTCCCGGCTCCGCTGCGGGATTGAGCAACTCTCGCCATCTCTGGGTGCAGCAGGAGTGATGGACTGCATGCTTCCGAGTCCTTTCTGCTGAACGGTGCTCCTTTGATCCAGCATACTAGGGAGAGTCAGAGTTGGAAGGAGGTAATGGCCCACTTTGCTCATCCACAGCTGGTTTTCACAAGATAGGACCTGCGTTATTGTACCCTTTTGCCAATTAAATACTAAGGTTCTGAGGCCTGGGGTCATTTAGCCTGAAGGAGGTGACTGCTAGTTCGTCTTCCACTACTCACACTCTCACCCAGGTTTGTTGGGTCCAGTCTAGACTTGTCCAGGTTCAGGTGCTAGGGGTAAAGCCCAGGGATTCGCGCAAGCTCGCTAAGCTTTTGCTCTGCCCCTGGACCACACTTCTGTTTATGTCCTACTTCTCTGTTCTTGATGGAGTCAGAAAATACTATCTGTAGTGCTTCAAATGCTAATGGTGTTACACTACCCTTCCCCTTTATTTCCCTCAAATGTGGTGTAGAAGGCTGCTTCAAAACAAGTGAGATATAGCCCCGGCAAGTCTGGCTGTGCTATTGCTTACCAGAGAGTGGGTACTGAGAAGCACAAAGCCAGGCAGCCTTTTTAGCCCAGGAGTTTGTTTTCAGGGCCACCAGCAGCCATCACCTGGCAGTCGCTCATCTCCAGACAGGAGGTTTGGCCATGAACAGGCAGAGACAACAGTAACAATCCCTGAACTCACTGAGTGTCCTACCAAGGAGCTGGGGGGTACTGTCTTGTTTAGGAAATCACATTTCTAATAGTAGAAGTTAAAGAAATTAGCAATTTGAGAAAAAAGCTGGAGAAAGGCAGACAAGTTGTGGGGCTGACCATGGAGACCAATTGCAGAGAAACCTGCAAGGTTTGGGTTGGGAGGGCAGAGAGCCTGCTACAATTGTGGCCTCCTGGCCACTCAGTGTCCACCTGGAGTCCCTTCTCCTTGAATCATGGTCAGGTCACTTGCCTCTACCACCTTCAACCTAAATGGAGAAAACAGATTTTAAAATATGGTCTGCTTTCTAATCTTTTGGGGAAATCTCAGTCCTACCACTTCCGGTGAGTCCGCCACTTCCTTAAGACTTCCGGAAGTCTTAACTGAGCGTTTTTAACACCTCAAAGTCTCATTGCTCATTACTTTCATATGTAAAATATGGGTTTTTTTAAAAAAAATGAAGCATAGGTATAATATATGTAAAGTTCTTTGAATAATTTCTGCACATAGTAGACTTCTCAACAAGAGTTGAAAGAAGACAGGGGAGAGGGAAAAGAAAAGACTCATTTACTGCATTTATTATATTTCATTAATACTGTTATCTTTCCAATCTGGCTTTGTGAAATGGTAAAATTATTCCTCTACAGATTATCTGCTTGAGAGTTTTCTTTCCTGGGCCTTGCTAATTAAAAAATACCATAAATGTTTTAATTAGATCATTGACATTTTTTTTTAATAATTGCAAAGGGACTTGACCAAGTTAATTTTACTCTACAGTGTAATTCCTTGTGACTCTGATGTTAAGGCTAATGTGTAAAAATAGTTGCATGGAGAATAAATTATGTTCATGGGACAAATGGGGAATCTGAGACTTCTTTCCAAACTACAGTGTCTATCAGAGTATATAGGAATGAAGCGCACCAGCAGGATCATCCAGTGCAACTCCCTCAGTGACATTTGGGCTGCAGTGGGAAAAGAAGACCCCTTGGTTAATTTCACACTTCCTCTGTACCAAGGTGTGACTCCACAGCTGGATTTAGAAAAGACTTTTAGGAGGCTGAATTACAATACCAGCTATTGTTCCAAACTCCCTAGCTTTGAGGAATTAGCTCTTTTCTATAGGGAATCCAAATCCACTTATTTAATTGGAGATTTATCTTAGGGAATATTTCCTACTCATTCAGGCTCTAAGCCTTCATCATTTTAATATAGGCCCTCAGGGGCTCTTTCCGTCTCCAGAGCCTGAGAGTTTGCCCTTGGGAAGGAAAGGTGAACATAGGTAACCATGCACATTCTGTGTGCTTGGCCCCCGGGACCCCTAAGAAGCAAGTACTACTGTATGTATTTGATATGGGAGGGAACCAAGGCTGAGGAGCTCTGTATCCAACAGCTCACCCATCTGTTCTGTGTGGTGCGAGGCCTGACGAGGTGGTGCTGGTTCTCTCAGACCCTCTGCTCTGTGCCTTCAGGCTCCTTGGCTTCCCCCTTTATGCTGCAGATGCCCCAATCTTGTTTTCTTTAGCTCCCTCTTTAATGAGTTCCACAGGACAATGCTAAGTCTAGTTATGCAGCCTTAATTGGTTTAGTTACAACAAGATAATTCCTTTTTTCTTCTCTCAGCGGCCTTTCTGTTTAAAGACATTTTAGCTGGAAGATGCTAATTATCGATGAGGGGAAAGTGACACCTGAAGAGTTCATTTTCCATGTTGGTCCCTGGGTCTCCTTTGAACTCCCTCCACCCAGCCCTCTTTCCCACTTCTTCACTTCTCGCCCATCATCATAAAAGAGCGAGCTCTTCCCCAGCCGCCTGGCGCTGGCTGGCAGCACACTCTCTCCCCCACTTGCAGGTAGTCATTGCCTCTCCAGCTGTCCTGCAGCATGGACAACCTGCAGGAGCCCTTTCTGGGCCTCTCGGATGGCTTGGACTCCTCCAACAGCACTGGACTGCTGTCTTCCTGGGACTGGAAAAACAGGGCCCGGCCCTTCGTGCTCAACCAGGCCTCTCCAACTCAGAGCCTTTCACCGGTCCCATCCCTGGAGTCCTATTCTCCATCCCCTTGTGCTGCCGGGACCGGGCTGCCCTGTGGGCGTGGTGGGGCCGGTGGTGGGGTCAACGCTGGCTGCAGCAGCCCAGGCACTGGAGGCCTGGTGGAGGTGGACTACAGTGTGTTAGCTTTCCAGCCTGCCTACCTCCAGGGTGCTGGTGGCCCCAAGACCCAGAAGGGCACCAAAGTCAAGATGTCTGTCCAGAGGAGACGCAAGGCAAGTGAGAGGGAGAAGCTCAGGATGAGGACCTTGGCTGATGCCCTACACACCCTGCGGAATTACCTGCCGCCTGTCTACAGCCAGAGAGGCCAGCCACTCACCAAGATCCAGACGCTGAAGTATACCATCAAGTACATTGGGGAGCTCACTGACCTTCTCAACAGCAGCAGGGAGCCCAGACCCCAGAGTGTGTGAGCTGTGCCCCTTGGGATCTGACCCATTCCAGTCCCCTGGGTGGAGCAGAGGTGTGTTAAAGACCAAGAGCGGTCATGGGACACAACATGGAGCTGTATGTGCACAGCTGGAGCGGGACCTTGTAATCAGAGCGCTCTGCGGAGTTCCCCTCTCACCTGTGGACCCCCAGACAAGTAGAAACCTCTTGCTTTCAGTTTTCTTCACCATCCTCCCACAGACTTATCCTTTGTAAAAAGACATTATTTTGCCTTTCTGTGTCTGTTCAAGGTATTCTAAAGGGTGACTATGTTTTAAATGCATTTTTCAACAATGTAAAGTAGTTGCAATTAATCTTGTGCCTTTTTGCTGTTGGAAGCTTTCTTTCTTTTGATGACAAACTTGTATTTGTATGGAACTCAATGTGACACCTGGTTTCTTACTTAGAAAGGGTTGTGATAAGTTTGTGTCAAGGGTTATATCCCCTCATGTGTGTGTGTGTGTGTGTGTGTGTGTGTAAAACTGAACTTCAGCCTTTACTCTTGTTAGGATCCAAATCACTTAAAGGCAGAAGAAACTAACATCATATTGAACAGGAAGTCACAAGTAGGCTAAGACAGAGTGCAGGTCCCAAAGACCAGAGCCTTCTCTCCTAGGGCAGAGGAAGGAAGGCTGGTACTCAGGGACAAGGGCACAAAAAGGAAGAAGAGGAGGGCACAGCCTCATAGGGTCACCAGAGCCCTGCTTTTGTGTCCCAGGCCTGGTTCTAATGTGACCTCATTTATCCCTTCACTTACAATTTCTCAAATGAAGAGCTGGGGGAAGGGCTTTATATTACATAGATAACAGAAGTCAGGTTGGCCTCTAACCTCGCCAAAGGTATGTATTTCTCCCTCTACAGCATGCTGCCCTCCTACCCCCCAAATCCCTCCACCCCCAAAAACCCACACAGACAGACAGACACACACACACACATACACACACACGTGCACACACACGTGCACACGCCTTTGGGCTTGTCTTGCCGCGGTCTGCAGCGCCTCAGTGTGGCCCACTTGAGTGCTTGGGATGTTGAAAGGGGGTTTGAAACAGGTTCTCAGAACTACCAGGCCTAGACAGCTGCATTTCTCTTGCTACAGTTGTCAACTATGAGAGTTTGTTTTCAAAGAGCTTTCTGTTCGCGTCTCCTGTCATTTCCCCCCAATTTCTCCTTCTTTTGAGTGACATAAATTGCAAAGGCAGTAGTTGTGTTCATATTTTTATGCAAGCTCCTCTACATTTTTTGAGGAGGCAAATAAAGATGAGCAAGTATATATTTTAAAGAAATGCCTTTAATTCTGCAGATTCTTTTTCAACTTGGAAATGTATACAGTAAAAATCTTTTCAGGTTGACACAAATAAATCTGTAATGGAAGGATCATTATTACCAAATCTTGCTTTTGTAGATGAGGACATAAAGTCACACAGATCCCACACTATCCTGTGGCACAGGCCCCATGTCATGTCCTCAGTGAAGCCTCTTCTGAACAATATGTAAGTGGTTTTTATTACCAGAAAATATTGCAACAGATATGATAGACAGCTAACTTTATCCTCTGGTATTTTAAGTAACTTGAAAAACTCCCAAAAGGGTATCTCTGGATCATATTTTAATTACTAGGTCACATCATTTTCACAAAGGTACTTATTTCTGTCACTACTCCTATGCTGTCAAGCTGTCCCACATTGCCACTGGGTGTTATCAATCTTAAGATTTTTAATGGATTAAAAAATGATTATGCCATTGGGTAACTTTTAATCTTCCTATTAATTGAAACATATTTTTAAGATTTTATGTGCCTGTCATTCGTTTTTGTTCTTCTTCTATATTGGGGCAATTTATGCTTTTTGTGATTTTTCTATTGGATTACCTTATTAATCTGAGAGAGTTCTCTGTATATTGTATGTATTGAAGTACTTACTCCCTTATGATCTATCATTTTACTGTACTCCTTTTATAATAGATTTATGATTTTGATTATGATATCTTTTGCTCTTTGAAGTTCTTGTGCTTTTCTTCCTTCCTTTTTCCCTCCCTCCCTTATTTCCTTCATTCAGTTTTTTGTAATAGCATTTATTTATTTTTATTTTGAAACAGGGTTTTACTTAGTAGCTAAGTTATTTGGGCACTTATGAGCCTCCTGCCTCAGTCTTCCAGGGTGCTGAGATGATAGGTATGTATACTGGCTGAAGTTTTTCATTTTTATGTGACCAGAACCCTTTTTTTTTTTGTCTGATGGCTTATGTTGTTTTCCTTTTTGCTTAATTTCTCCTTGTTCCAAAGTTATTCAAATGTTCTCCTGATTTTTTCAACTATTTTTACTGTTTTATTATTTACATATGATTCACATATCTACAATTACTTTTCTCTATAGTGTCTGGAAGGAATTTGAATTTATTTCTGAATAGTGTTTTTATAATGGAAGAATTATATATCTTTTCATCAGAGTGGTATGAGATAGGGGCACAACTGTTAAAATGTCATCTGTTTATATGACACTTCATCAGCTTCTCATATGTATCAGTTTTTGGTATTTTAGAGAAGAAATTAAAAACACTGGACAGTCTCAAGACTTTCTGCAAAGGCCTCTGCCCAGGGCATGTTCAGGTACTTGTGTGAAAGGGTGAATATGGACATGTGTGTGCACTGTGTGGGTGTGCACATGTGCACATGTATGTGTATATCATGTTTTATGTATTAAAGAAGGAGAACTAGAGAGGATTAGTAATACTGGCATTGGGGAGAGCCAGGTTAGTCTAAAATCCATCTTTCAGGTCAAACACTCTTTTCCTTGCCATTTTTATTTTTTATTTTTATTTATTTATTTATTTTTGGTTTTTCTCCGGTACCGGGAATCAAACTCGTAAGGTAAGACCTTGTGCTTACCAGGCAGGCGCTGTGCCACTGAGCTAAATCCCCAGCCCCAATCCTTGCCATTTTTAAACAAGAGGGACTCAAATGCTCTTGGCTTTGATTTTTCAAGCTCGAGCACGAGGAGTGGTTAATGAGTAGCGGGGGCGAGCTTGGTTGTTTTGCGGAGGAGGTGCTATGAATTTAAGGTCCCTTAAAGGCTGGCTCACCATGGCCAGATTGCCTCCCAGGGAGCCCTCTGGAGGGGATGCAACTTGGAAGTCAGGAGAAGCTTTTTGGGAGAAGGATAGAGTGAGTTGTCCCTAGATTGCTGTCTACAGCCCAACCCCTCTCCTGGAGGGGCTGCTGAGCAGGAGGAAGTGTGACCCCATGGAAGCTGCCTGCCTCTTAGGGAGCAGAGCTGGAAGTTGTCACTCATCCTTCTGGACATGTTTCAAACATTTGGTTGGGCAAAGCTCAAGAGTGAGAATGAGTTATTTCTAGTGCTTGGATAGGGAAAAGATTGCAGAATCAGTGTCCACAGTGTCTACTGTGTCCTGGTCAGGGTGTCCCTATTTATTATGCCATGCAGTCCTTACTACAACTCAGGAGCTGGGTGCTTCTGTTTCAGGCTGCAGGGTGCAGAGGCGAGGGTTCAGGCCAGTAGAGCAAAGTGAGCTAGTGGCTCATAGTTGCCTGATTAGCGAGCTGAGCACTCCAAGCTATACCTTCATGTGCTGCTTTCTTTGCAGTTGGGATAGCAGTCTCCACAATGCTTCCAGGGTTCAGGCCTTTGCTGTGCTCCCTCATCCCGGGGCCCTCATTTCATTAATAGAGGGCTATTCATCTTCCTTCTAAATGATTTCCCTTTGAACTTCTGTCTCCACCCTGAATGTTTCCTCAGAAACTCCTTTTACTTCCTTTGCTGGCACCTGGAGTCTTTCTTAATCTCCAGAGGAAATCTGACTTCTGTTCATTTGTGTTCAATAAAATGTCCCACAATTCACACTGGCCTGAGGTTTCTTTGTTCTGCTTGGAAATTCTGCTGCATGAGCAAATGAGGAGTGCACTGGTGTGAGGGTCAGGATAGGCATCCTCTGCAACCCAACCCATCCACAGAATTATCCCTGTTCTAACGTGTGTTCAAAGGCAGTTGAGAGGGCGGGGGACATAGGTCAGTAATAGGGTGCTTGCTGGGCTCAATACCCAGTATCACAGGAAGAAAAAAAAAAAAGAAAGCAAGAACAAAAGAGGATGCATATGCAAATGCACTCATGTTTCTGAGGTCCTGTTACAAGGACTCAGTATGCTCAGTGCCTGGTGAGAAGTCATTTTTCTCTTGGACAGCTTCTGCACGGCCTCCAGGCTGCAGGATAGAGGGATCCAAGGCCTTGACTCCTCTAGCCTCAGCTCACAACAGCCTGAAAGGAGCCAGATCCGAGCTCACACCCCTCGTCCTCCTGCTGAGCAGACCTGCAGTCTGCCAATAAAGTATTGAAGCTGCATAGTGCTTCTTCTTACAGCAACCCAGAAGGCCTTGATCTTGATATTTTGGTCCCAGAAAGACCCTTGAACTCCTAGGAAGAAGAAAGCACAGAGACTTCTGAGAAGGCTGGGAAGCAATTGTTTGTTTGTCTGTTGGTTTGGAACCTGCTGGCCTTCTCTCTATTCCTCATGTTCTTCTCCACACGCACTCTACAGACTTCTGCTTCTCTTCATCCTCTGAGTGTGGAGAGACGGAGGGGGCTGCGGAGCCAGGGCCTGGGAGAGTGGTGTGCTGAGAAAACTGATGTCTAAGGCTGTTCCTCATAGGGAACTTGTTGGTCTCTTGGTGTACCCTGGGGAAGAACAGCAGTGGGTATAAAGAAAATAAAAAAAGAGACAAAAATTAGGGTCAGGTGGAGTAGCCTCTTTACCTTGGAGGGCTAGAGGACTGAACAATAGTAGGGGCATTAATTTATATCCTTGCAAAGTTAGTATCATGAGAGGCAATGTTGCCTAGGGACTAATGACTGAAATTGTCCAGGCAAGTTGTTTTTCTCAAGACCTAGGTGCCTTGACTGCCTCAGGTACTCCGGCTCTGTCCTGACCTCATACATATCACCAATTTCCAGTTCCAGCCACTCCCAACAGT